TCGTCGCCAGTGTCGTGTCCGTAGAGAAAGGAAGCTCAGAGTCAGTGACTTGGTTTCAGCTCTTTATTGGCTCCGGATACAGCTTAAGCTTGAAGGGGAAAACTGCGGCTTTTTATTTCCGAGCCGCGGCGGCCGCGGCCAATGACACCGCTTCGAATCTCCCGCGATTAGTTTCCACCAATCGCGGGGGATTCGCAACGGGCCAATCAATGCGGCTCGCTCGACCAATCCGGTCGCCGCGCGCTTTAACCAATCGCGACGCGGGGCTACGAGTATGTAAATTGACTTGTACAGAACAAATTGTTCCTTTGACTTTTTTTTCTTGTTTTGTATGTGTTGCAAGAAACTTTATTTATTGTTTTTGACATTGTAAGTCTTAATTCATTCTGAACCTTAGCTTGCCTAACTTCATTTTTACAGGTTCAGGCAATTTGTTGGTATTCTGCTTTAGTTATTTTTCCCACTTTCCATTTTTTGTATTTATCCATTTTTTTTCTTTCATTTGGTCAGAAAGTTCTTTATGCATTCATGCTGGGTTTTTTTCTTGGTTTTATTGTATTTCTTGATTTTCTTGGTTGAGCCAGTCTTTCCTGGTTTTGATGCTGCTTTGTGCAGTCTAAAAAATGGGGTGATATATGAAGCTTCCTTGTTAATGTCCTCTGGGGTCCTATGCTTCCTGAAAACTGTATAATCTCTTGGAGAAAACATACCCCAAAGTGAACAAACTCATCACCGCACATTGAATTCCTGAGTGACCTGTTTCCTTTTGTCTCAAAATCAAGTTAAGGTATGTAATTACTTCTTCACAGAACATGTTAATTTTAGGGCATTGCAAAACATGTAATGAAATGTTATTTTATGACATCTCCTAGAAACACATATTCTTTAATTCTTTTCCTATATCAATACAACTGGCATCAACACATCTGAAATACTACTTTTTGGTGAATAATCTACTGAATCAACAGTAAAGGATCCAATAGTCAAGAAATGTGCCTCTGTAATGATATGAGGAAATGACTTTGGGAGATTGGGGAAGAAATACTTCCTAGGGAATGATCAGATAAGAGGAGGCATAGCCCACAGTTGCATAATGTGAAGAGACTCAGTAAAGGAACCTTCCTAACTTCTCAGACTGTAAAAGAGATGGTGGGAGATTTGCACTTTCAGACGTACAAGATTCTGTTAATGTAACCTTACAATAAACTAGCCTTAGTTCATCTGGTCATGTTTCCTGTCTGATCAACTTAGGAAGTATTTTATGAAAAAAAACATATTCAGATTCCAGGATATGTCTATACCTGCAATTAGTGGTGGGATTCAAAATTTTTTTACTACTAGTTCTGTGGGCGTGGCTTGGTGGGCGTGGCAGGGGAAGGATACTGTAAAATCTCCAGTCAGAGGTGGGATTTGCCGGTTCTCCAAACTACTCAAAATTTCTGCTACTGGTTCTCCAGAACTGGTCAGAACCTGCTGAATACCACCTCTGCCTGCAATAACTACAATTGAATAGGCAATGGCTTTCCCTGTGACACCCTGTGAAATTGAAGAAGCAAGAAAGAAAGAATGCTTTTGTGGTTGGAGGAACTTACTGAGAAAACCATGGACAAATCAACCCAGAGTTCTCATTTGAGGCACAACTGATCGGCTGAAATGATCATATTTGGGATATATTATGTTTGCTCTTTTGAGAAGGGTATAATATAATATAGGAGAAGGGAGAGGAGAGGTAAGCAAGATGGACAGATTCCATTACTTTATTTGATATAATAATTTGATTCATTGTATAAATCTGCAAATTGTCTCTGAACAGATGAAGCAAGTCAATTAATGTGATTTCTCTGGCATAGCACTTCCACTCTTTTTTTTTTTAATAAAGTTTTATTTGGGTTTTCACACACAAAATACAAGTAAAACATCTTTTTTGAAAATAGCATGGTCCCGGGTTGAACTTCTTTATACAGACACAAAACTCAATTTCATGCTCCTTTTTGTATTCTATTCCATATCTTATACTATTTTACATTTTCTATATAGTTTTTCCCCTCTTTTAATTTTCTCAGTTTTATTTTGATTATCTCATCTCAGTTCAAATCATTATATTTATACTTTTGTCTGTTTTGTTTCAATTTCATATTATCTTTTCTCATTAAACAAATTTTCTCCTGTAGTTACTAATTGGAGTATGACACCTTTATATCTTTTAATTACATCCATTCAATTCTTATTTAAACTTCAATATATACCTTAAGTTTATGACCTTCAATATCATACATAATACATAACTTCCAATCGAATGCTGCTTGGCACATTCTTCTAATACACACTATATTCTTTAAAAAAAGAAAGAAAGATTGTAAATATATGTAATTATAAATCCTCATTCCATTCCAGTTCAGTTCTATCATTAATAATCATTACAACCATAACATCTTTAACACTTCTTTTCAATTAAATATCATACTTCCTTAAAAACACATATAATCTCCATAATTAATTTTTCCCTTATTTCTCTTCACATATGTTTTATAAATCATTAAATATACCTTTTGTTACATTTATTTATTGACAAGCATCCCACTGAATTACAATAGCTATTTTATCAGACATTTTAATCATACATATTGTTTCATATTTTCTAAAATTATTTCTGCTTCTAATATAACCATACTATCTTATGTACCTTTGCAGAATCCTTTTCCATTACGTTTTCACCCATTATCTCTAAATAGGCCCTGTTTCTCTATATTTTGCTTCTGTCCTTTATAACTTCTTTTCCTTTCTTTCTTCCCTCTCATCTTCTCCCTCCCCTTTTTACCCCCTTGTCTCTCTAGTTCTAATTCTCTCTTCTGCATTTCCCTCTTCTGTTGCTTTCTGATTTTATACTTATTTTTCACTTTATTTTTTGGGGAGTTGTTTTTCCCAATCTTAAACTTCCCATTCTCTTTCCCCCCTTTCATTTTTCCCCCCCATCTAAGATTACTTGTTCATTAAAGATGGCTTCTTCTTTGTCACAATCTTCTTGTTTTGCAGGCATTTCTTGTTGTTTCTCATAATTCCAAATCTCCATTTCTAAAAACTGAAATACAAAGCCAAAAGAACCTCTCCCTTCTTGTGCATCTTCTTTGTACTTTTTAAGTTCCATTTTCAGTTCTTCTAAAAGTGGAGCCATTTTAAAAAGCTTTAAACAAGCACCCGATTGATTTTAATCATTCAAAACAATAACCAAGAATCCAGAAATCATCAAGTAATCCAGATAGTCCTGAGTTATATCTTCTTATTTCTTTTTCGACTTTCTCTTCCTGGGGTTTTTGTTGCGATATTTCAGTTAGAATGTATCTTTTTGTTGAGATTTTGCTGTAAGTTCTTTTTTAATTCCAGGCAGTCTCCTCCCTTCCAGATCCTACCCTTTTATTCTTTTTCTTTCCTTTCCTGTTTTCAAAAGCTTTTAATTATCCAGAAATCTTTATTATCCCTTTGACTTTTTTATTTTCAGTATTAAATGCCTATTGATGTCAAAGTGGATTTTTTTCGAATTTCTTGCTTAAGTCTCTTAGCTGTCAGTATAGGAAAAGGAGAAAACCAAATATTTTCCCTTTTCTCTCTCCTTCGCAGCTTAAAAATCTTCTTAGGGAACAATGTTATTGTTTTTTAACAGTTTCAATTCCAGGGTACCTTATTTGTTGCTTTTGCTGTTTGACCCGGTCAACCAAAACTTTCTCTTCTTATCTTCCTCCTGCACATTCTTTTCTGGTCGAGTTCTTCTTTGTGGTGGCCATTTCTGATCACCGCTGCAACCGCCTTCGGGAAAGGGAGTAATGGCCAGCTGGGGAGGAGAGATGTGGCTCTCCTCAACCCTGCTGGCAATCTCCCCTCTCTTCACCACCTCTACGGGGTGGCTTAGTCCCAGCCAGCTCGGGGCGCTCCAGCGGCGAGCATGGATCGAAGCCTCACAGAGACGAGGCTTCGGTCTGTCGCTGAAGAAGCTCAAACCGGAAGTCCAGCACTTCCACTCTTAAAGCTTTCTAATTTTTCTAATGTAAACCTGGGCCTTTCCCATGTGTTATATTAGAATTTTCAATAAGCTAGGGAAAACTACTTTGTGTTAGAAAGGCTTTAACTACTTAAACAAACAAGCCTGAATCTCTCTGCATGCTTCTATGACTCACAAAAGTTGATCAGATTGTATGACCCAAATGTGCTTTCAAAATAAGCCTTTGATTTGTATCAATTTTCATAAATGCTACAATTGTACTTTTATTTCCCACTAGGGAATTGTTCAGACAAGATATTGTTTTTCCATTTGTAATACCTCTCTCCCAATATCTGTCCTGAATTAGTATTACTGAATTATTTATAACAGATGTTCAGCTCTAGTGAGAATGGACTCTTGAGTATCTAAATACAGTAGATTTTTTTTTTTTTACTAGCTGATTCAAATCTTGTGCCAGTTGTATGTGCTACCTTGTATGTCCAATGATGCCGGTAGGGCTACAGCATCTCTACTCAATAGTCTATCCTTGGTGCAAATATTTCAAAATACAGATGATTGTCACAGAGGAGAGTATGGCCACATATACTCTGACAGAGAGAGAGGTCTCTTTTTATGAGCCAGGGATTCTCTGTTTGCAGGCCCCTGGTGAGATGGGTTTTTGGAAGGAGGCAAGAAGAACAAACCATGGATAATGTTTTCCCTCCTGGGATACTGCAGTTCTCAGAGGAATAGATGCTTGCTTGCCCCTCCATTCTCTGCTTCAGCACCATCTATTATTGAGTTTTGCATAATCCTGAGGATTATGGTACTACTCTACGCCTTTCCCCCTCCATTTACTTTCCCTTAATATTCTAGATATATTCAACAATAAAAACCCTGAAAATCCTCAAAGAGACTAAACCTCCTAGAAGAGAATCACTTGTTACTATAAAAAACCCACTGCCATCAGTGCCAGCTGCCTGCAGACCAATGCTCTGCCCTGTGGGATGGGGGGGCCTTAGAAGCCATGGGCAACTGCACCAAAACCCTTGGCAAGCGACTCTCCAAGGTAAGGGAAAAAAAGATGGAGGGGTGTGGGGGGGCTCCTCATCCTGTTGCATTCCCATTTTTCTGTCTGGCTTCTTGCATGCGGCTGTTTCAGCACGTTTGTCTACTTTCCTTGTTCTACTGTGTCTGTCCATCAATGTCCAGATTTCAGGCCTGAATTCTCTTAGAAAATATGGCAAAATCCCCTCATTTGGTGAGTGTTTGTGGAAAAATTCTTTGCTTTGCCCTGTCTCAGAGTAACAGGCTTTGAGGTATCATCCCAAGATCCTTTAGCTCTAAGTACAAATTCTCCAAATTGTTGGAATGTTTTACAGAAGAATAATTCAGGAGGCTGAAAATGGCCCTTTTATTTTTCCCTGTTTGAATCCTTAGCTTAGCAGCCAGATCTGATTCTTTCATTCAGTGAGTGGGGGGGAATGAACAAGTTAAAACCCAAGATCAGAAAATACTGGTTCGTGGAATTGGGTCCCATTGTGTATGCTCATTTGCACATTCTTGCATTTGCTCAAGGTCAGTCATCTCCATTCTTGATGACTAGGTGAGAAGAACCAGCCTGTATCCCAGTATTTGCATGCCATTTTTGTACATTGCTTAGACTATCAAAGAGAGGAAAGGGTGACATTGAAGACAGAATGGAAGGGAAGAGAGTGTTGTGAATTGTTCAGTGAAGGAAACAAAACATGTATGTTGGAAAAAATATTTAGGTGTAATAGTAGAGAATCTATGTAGCTCAGGGATGAATTTTGGGATTCTTGAGGTTCTCTTGGTTGTTTTTCTACAGATGTTTCATTACCATGTTAGGTAACATCATCTCTAGGCTTATGTTTCTCTGCCTGTTGTCAAGAGTCATTTTTATGTAATCGTCAAAGCACTCTAATTGTAACTTTTGCAAATCTTTGATAGAGAAGACATTCAACCAAAGCTAAACAAAAGAAAAAAGAAACTGCCAGACAATTTTTAAATTTGAAAGCATGAAGGAGATGGTCTCTATAACCAAATTCTCATGAACAGGTCGGCCCAGTTTTTATCTCTGTCTATGTTGCTTCAATATAGAATTGTGTCAATAAGCACTCTTTATGATTTCATAATCCCCTTTTTGTCAAATTAAAATTGATGGTTTGGTGGACATTTTTGGAGGAGTTTGAAAAATTGTAAGTCGTGTGGTTATGTGGCAAAGAATATTTACTAAGAGTTAGGACATTCTTTCACACCACCCATGTTTTAATGACTTTTTAAAAATATTTTACTACATAGTTTAAAAATCAGTTCTATTTAACTTTTATATCCACTGCTGGATAGAAAGTATAGGCATTTTAATGCAACACACATGAAGGACATCTGATTAGAAAAGATATATCATTTGCCAAGAAGAACCCTGTTAAAAATTCATTGCTCTCCTCACCAAACCACAATTCCTTGAGTTTCAGTCTAAATCTGTAGGGACAACATGTAGGACAAAAGGCAGAGAAATTATTAGGAAAAATGAGCACACCTACTATGATGGTCTAAATATGTTATTGTTAGGATCTATATTTCTGTGCTTGAGGCACTGGTGTATGTATCCAGCAGTATGACATTTTGGAAAGAGTGGAATATGTATTCTATGTCTCCCTGCATGAGTATTATCTGTGGTATTAGCAAAATAGCAAATGCTTGTACTCCAGCATGCACCCTGCTGCGCTGATGTTACAAACAATGCTTTTGACTCCCATTAAGGATTCACTGAAGGGTTGTGCAGGTTGAAATATACTGTACCATCAGCTGGCCGTTAAGATGGATGTTAAGAATTTCTCATGTGGTAACATTTCTCAGTCGTTCCTTGTTTTTCTTTTGTATTCTTTTCCTTTTTTCCTTTCTATCTGTTCTTTCCTTTCCATTACATTCTTCCTTTCCAAGAATTTCCCAAGAGTCAGGAACCTTAAGCTTTCAGGTGTGATAGGATAGGGCCTTTAATCAAACGTACCTAATTTCAGGCTATTGTGAAGGAGAATAAGCAACCCTCAGAAGCTCTTGACTCCCCAACGTCTTCTAACAGCAAGCTGGATGAAATGGCTGATGGCACACAGTATCCATCTTTGCAGAATTACTCAATGCTGCATGGCTTGGTGGGGCCAGCCTGCATTTTCTTGCGCCAGAGCATCGCCATCTCATTGATCGTACGTACTCTGCTTCTCCAGTAGCTGCCACCATATATCCCCACTTTCCATAATGACCCTCTGCCCTGCCCGTACGATTCTCCTCACTTACCCTCTGTGTAGTCCCCCACACTGCTCAAGCTATGAACTAGCTCACCTTCAGAGTTTTCTGCTCCCTCGGAAATCCCACTTACCATCTTTTCTGCATACAAATTATAAACCCCTGGATGTATAAAAGTGTCCTTCAGTGACTTCATTGCCCCATGTCAAAAGCTCGGAAAATGGAAAGATTAATTAATAAGGATATATTGATATGTAGCTGTTTCGTGCACATTATGTTATTGCTGCCCCACAAAAACCTCAAAGGACACATCAATAATATTTACACCACGCCATAAAAGAGGAAAGTGAGGTTACTGGGCTTAGGTGCTAAGACTGTGATGGAAAGCAAAGCTCTTAAGGCTACTTGGTAATTTATGGCAAAGACAATCTCCTATTTTGAGACTCCACAATGAGCAGATTGATCTTTTAACAGCAGCTTTTGAACTGCTGTCCAACTAGGTGAACCCTTTTAACAGATTGCCATGCTTTATCTGTTCAAAGTCAGTGTCCACAAAACACCCATTTTTATTTTTTATTTTTATTTTTTAAATAAATTTTATTAAATTTACAATTAAAAACATATCGACATTACATACACAAAAGGAAAAAAACAAAAAAAGAACACTCGGTCTTACAAACTGGAAAGAAAAGAGAAGAGGAGATGTAAAAGAAAGAAAGAAACAAAGGAAGAGAAAGAGAAAAAAGAAAAAAAAAGATGCGTTTAAAAAACAGACAATATCCTTTTTGACAGTCTGCAAGATCCAATTCTCCTACCTTAATTTGAATACACACATCTTATCGAAATCTATGCTTAAATTACCCATTGTCCATTAAGCAGTTTATCTCTGGACTAACCAATTATACCAAGAGTTCCAATTATCGTAAAATGTTGAAGCCTCTTTGTTTTTAAGTGCTATAGTTAATTTATCCATTTCTGCACAATCACATATTTTCTGGATGACCATTTGTTCTGTAGGTGCATAGGGTGATTTCCAACACTGGGCAAACGCTAATCTGGCTGCAGTTAGGATATGAATTGTTACATATTTCATCTTTTTGGGTAAATGTTTATCAGAGATCCCTAGTAGGAAGAACTCTGGTTTGTATTCGATTTGTTCTTTGGTTATCTCCTCCAACCATTTTCTGATTTTTTGCCAATATTTCTGGGTTTCTTTGCAAGACCACCACATATGAAAGTAGGTTCCTTCTATGCTTTTACATTTCCAGCATTTTGGACTCGTGTTTGGGTTCATTTTCGCCAACCTCGAAGGGGGCAAGTGCCATCTATAAAACATTTTGTATGTATTTTCTTTATATGCTGCCGATTTTGTAATCTTAATATTTCTGTTCCAAATCTTTTCCCATTCTGATAATGTAATACTTCTTCTGACATTCCTGCTCCAGGCTATCATGTTCCCTTTGACTATCTCTTGTTCTAATTCTACTTCCAGTAAGTATTTATAGAATTTGGATATGTTCTTTTTGTTTGATCCTAGAAAAATTTTATCTAAATACTGCAGTTTGTTATAAATTCCAAAGTCTTTTATATCTTCCGGTGGCAGGACAGGGACGTGCAGAGGTGGAGAAGACTGCTGTGGTTTTCTATTACCTTCTCTAGCGTCTGGAGCGATCCCCAGGGGATACACAAACCCCGGAGAGGTTCGTGTCAGTATAGGAGAATCTCGAGTTACAGGGTGGGGGTAGGCAACCCCCTGGTAACGAAGAGAAGAGCTCCTGAGCCCAGCGTGGAAGAGCTAGCTGCCAGTTTATGGCGGCTCCAAAGTCCGGTCTGCCACTGAGGTGACTAAGCAAGATAGTGACAGCCTGCAAGATCGGAGCAGGAAAAGGTGTTGAAAGAGCTTAATACAATATTGAAGATCGAAGATTGAAGAATGACAGTGGGGTGAGAGATTTATCTTCCTGGTTGTGAGTAGCACTTTGTGGAAGCAGGAGAGAAAAGCGGCCAGAAAAGCAGCTTGAAAAGCGGAAGTGTGACGATCACGAGCAGAAAGGCTCGTTAGAACAAAAGTGTGGATTACAGCTTTTGAAAGGGAAACTCCTGGGGAGAGAGGAAGAACATCAGAAACCAGGAGATTGGAGACTTGAATTTGTGAGTGATTTGGCATTTGGGATTAACTTTTTGACAATATTTGAGAGGAAGGAGGTGACAGAGGAGGAAAAATTGCGGCACTGAAAGTGACTTATTAATTCTCTGAATTGAGTTCAATAGGATTATTGGCTTTATTTAATACAGCTGGGAGGACAGATTGTTAAGTGACCAAGAAGAGATGACTATTGGATTTTGGAGGGAATAATAGGTGAAGGAGATTTGCACATTGAACTCAAAACCGGGAAGGGGAAAGAAGGAAGAGGAAGAAGGAAGAAGAGACCAACAGAAGGCTGGGAAGGATTGACTTCTTATTGCGATTAATCAGCACATTATACCATTCGCTCCCCGGAGTGCTGGGAAGAAACTCAAAACTTAAACCTTTAGCTTGAAGACTGACTATAAAGTTTATTTTATATTTTTTCTCTTATCACATTTCTTTATTTGTTGGAATTTCTATTTGGTAATACTTTAATATTACCATTTGGGCACTATTTTTACAATTTGAACCTCTAGCCCCTTGCTTATTGACTGCCTCAAATCAAGGTAAACTTTTCCCTCTTCTCTTCCCCTATTGTTCCAGTCTTTCTCCTTCCTATCTTAACCCCTTAAAAAGCCTGATAAATTTACCTACTCAAAAGGAGGGGGAAAAAAAAGGTATATTGTCCTTATAGATTTCAGTGACAATTGATTTGATTGTCTTAAATAGTAACAACAAGAGTGAAAAATAGTGTTGATTTAGATTATTTAGAATACTTAAGATTAATTCTTAAAGAAGTAACTGGGTTGGATTTGATGTATTATTGATGATTAATATTGATATTCAGTATATAAATTAATTATAAAGATTATTATATTATTAGATAACATTTTATAATATAGGTGTACAGACTGCCTATCTATATATTTGATTGAAGTATTAGAATAGAATTTTTATTTTAGGGTTAAACACTGAATGGTGATCTGGGACAATATATCCAATATAGTGCAACAACAAAAACAAATATTAAGAGAGATGACCTCCACGACAACTATGGCTTTGAAATCGGGAAAGAAGACCACCCCGACCCTAACAACTACTTTAACTTCTGCTTCACCAACAATCCAAAAAACCATTGAAGAATCTCTAATAGGGGAAAAACAGTCCAATGTCTCTAACGTTAATATACAAGCTACTCTACTATCCTTGCAAGAAGCAATATCCAAGATGCAAGAAATAATGATTAAGAATCACATAGAAACCAGAGCGGATATTAGCGAATTAAAAGATGAGATGGAAAAGCTTAAAGTGGAAATGAAAGCAGATTTACTTAAGGTGGAGGATAAGATAGGGTCCTTGCAACAGGCTATGGAGAAAAACGAAGGTAAGATAAGAGAAATAGAGAGTAGGACAGAACGGATGGAGACAAACTTTGAAAGGATAGAGGAGGAATTTAGAAATGTAACTAGAGAAACCGAAGACTCCCTCGTCCACCTCGAAATGGATAAAGCAGCGGCATATTTAAGGTTTCAAAATGTGGTAGAAGCGAAAAATGAAGAACTAGAACAATTAATGGCAGAACTATTGGCTGAATGGTTAGGGAAAGAAAAAGATGATCTAATCAAAGAATTTGACGAGGTGTATAGGGTCAGCACAAGTTATGCTAGACGCCATAACTGCCCAAGAGAAATTCATATTCGTTTCACAAGGAGGTGTGTGAGAGACCTAATTCTTAAAAGGTCCAGAGAAGAAACAATAACATATAGAGGTAAAGAGATTACGATCCTAAAACAAATCCCAAGGAAAGTGAGGGTCATAAGACAGGATTATAAATTCTTGGCCAATTATTTAAATAAAAAAGAAATTCCTTTTAAATGGTTAATCCCAGAAGGGATGTTAATAACTTGGAAAGAGAGAAAAATCAAAATAGATTCTATAGAACAGGCCCAAGACTTTCATGATCAGCTAATAGGCACGGATAACCAATACACCAAGGAGTAAACTAAAAGGAAACCACAGGATGATCGTAATCGCCATAGAAACCAAAAAGAAGGACTTCCTCAAAATTTAGGGAACGACAAACCACAACCAGGGAGAGAAGAATCAATCTCACAACAACAGCAAGAAGAAAACCGAATCATCACTAGACAAAAAACTAAACAGACCTAGATAAATGGAGATAGGAAAGAAACTCCTCTCCATTAATATAAATGGTTTAAATTCAACATCTAAAAGGAAAAGGATATTAACTAAATTAATTAGACAAAACGCCGACATAATATGCCTACAAGAAACACACATTAGGAAAAAGGATGAAAGATATTTAATTTGCCCGAAACTTGGAAAACTTTTTACAGCACCAGCAGACAAACATAAAAAGAAAGGAATTGCAATATTTGTGAAAGATGATGTAAAAGCAGAACTAATCTGGTCGGATCCGGAAGGAAGAACTCTGGTTATACAAATTTGGATTAATCATATCACATTTTTATTGGTAGCAATCTACGCGCCAAATGAAGAACAAGGGAAATTTTTTAAAGATCTTCATCAGAGAATAATAGGTTTCGAAAAAAGGAATATCTGCATGATAGGCGACTTCAACTCCATTGCTGATCATCAAAAAGACCATAGTAATGTGAATAAGAACAAGAAAGGGAAAAGAGAATTTTCTATGCCCTGTAAGGACATGATGAAAGAATTAAACTTAATAGACTTATGGAGAAAACTAAACCCAGAAGAGAAACAGTTCACATATTATTCAAATCCACACAAAATCTGGACTAGAATAGATATGGCCTGGATGGATGGGGAATTGGCCAATGAAATAAAAGAAATTAAAATCCTACCAAATGAATGGGCCGACCACAACCCAATACAACTAATTTGGAGAGATAGGAGAAAAACAAAGAAAAGATGGACACTAAATACTCAGTTAATAAACGAAGAAGAGTACATTAAGAAGCTGAAAGAGGAATTAAATTATTTTCTAAAAGAAAATAATAATGAAGCAACCACGAAACAAAATATTTGGGATACAATGAAGGCAATTATAAGAGGAACAACAATCTCCTATAATGCCATGAGAAATAAAAGAATACATGCCCAACAAAATAAATTCCAACAACAAATTAAAGAATTAGAAATACAACTTCAAAAATCCCCTAAAAACCAGAGAACACAAAATCAGTTAATAACAATTAAACATAAATTGAACTTACTTGAACAAGATAAAATAGAAATTAACTTGAAAAGGTCCAAACAAAATTATTTTGAGCATGCAAATAAACCAGGAAGATGGCTATCCCATAAACTTAAAAAAATGGAAGAAAAGAGATTGATACACCAACTAATGGATGAGAAAGATGTCTTACAACATGAGATAGAGAAGAAAAAAGATATCATTTACAACTATTTTCAAAGATTATATAAAAAGGAGGAAGTTAATGAAGATAAAATAAGAACTTATTTAGAGGAGACGAATGACAAGGTAATTGGAGAGGAATGGATAGAGTTATTGAATAAAGATATTACATGGTCTGAATTGAAGTCAGCAATGGAGAATCAAAGTAATAACAAATCTCCAGGACCAGATGGGATTCCGGCAGAACTATATAAAGCAATATTGGAACTAGTAGGACCACTGATGCTGGAAGTGTTTAATGAGGTACTTCTGGCAGCCAAGATGCCGGACTCGTGGAGGGGGGCGCTGATTTCGCTAATCCCGAAGGAGGATGCAGATCATAGATACATCAACAACTATAGACCGATTTCACTTTTAAATGCCGATTATAAATTGTTTACTTCTATCATAGCTAATAGAGTAAAACAAGCTTTAAATCCACATATACATGAAGATCAAAATGGATTTCTTCCGTCCCGACAAATAAAGAACAATTTAAGAACCGTTATCGATGTCCTAGAATATTATGAAGCCCACCCGGAGAAACAATCCGCACTCATGTTTTTAGATGCTGAGAAAGCATTTGATAACTTAAATTGGCACTTTTTAATTCAAAAAATTTACAATATGAGTCTTGGTACCAAATTTGAAAACATTATAACAACTATTTACAACACACAACAGGCTAATATACTAATCAATGGCGAACAAACAGATCCAATAAATATAGAAAAAGGTGTCAGACAGGGCTGCCCTCTCTCACCTCTTCTTTTCATTTTTGCCCTAGAATCACTCTTAACACGGGTTAGACAAAACTCTGAAATTAGAGGAGTGAGGGTCAAATCAGAAGAATATAAACTACAAGCGTTTGCTGACGATATGGTTTTCTTTTTGGAGGAACCCATGGAAAAAGGTTATAATCTAATAAAAGAATTAGAACAATTTGGCACAGTGGCAGGATTAAAAATTAATAGAAAAAAGACGAAATTAATGACCAAAAATTTAACAGAAAACCAGAAGGAAGAATTAGAAACAATGATGGGGATACAGGTAACAAAAAGGGTCAAATATTTAGGAATATGGTTAACACCACAAGGTAAATCACTCAAAGAGAACAATTATGATAAACTACTTCAACAAACAAAGAAAGATTTAGAATCCTGGAATAAGTTGCAGCTTTCCTTATTGGGCAGGATTGCCTCGATTAAAATGAATATATTACCAAAATTTCTTTATTTATTCCAGACAATCCCAATTAAGTTGTCAAAAAAATTTTTTGAAGAATTAAATAAGATCACACTTAAATTTATTTGGCAGGGGAAAAAACCCAGGATCAATGTAAAGGCCTTACAAGATGCGAAAAGTAGAGGGGGTCTAGCCCTTCCAAATTGGGAATTATATTATTCGGCAGCTATCTTATTATGGATAAAAGACTGGGTGAACTTACTTAACAAAAGAATTTTAGCATTAGAAGGGCATGACCTCCAGAGAGGGTGGCATGCCTTCTTATGGGAAGTGGGGAAACCCAAGCAGTCTTACTTTCATAGACACCTCATTAGGGACTCATTATTAATTAATTGGAAAAAAATATGCAAAAAACACTATCTAAAAATTCCGATCTGGCTATCAACAATGGAGGCAATGGTACATCCCAATAATTTGGACATAACAAAAATGATTAAATATAAAGATTTATTAGATCCGCAAGGGAAATTAAAAACTCGACAAGAACTACAGGAACAGGGATTTAAAATTGATCAGTGGTTATATATACAAATCCATAGCAGATACAAACAAAACACCCATTTTTAAAAGGAATGATCCACTGGGTTATTCTTCTTTCCACATATATTATAGGCTGGCATTCTTTCTCCTCCCCTCAGGATCCCCTGCAGAACCCTGGCAAAATCTCCTCATTCACTTTGGCTGACCCACATATTGGCCTGCCACTTTGCTGGGGGGAGTGGGGGGAAAAAGACTGTCCTGAACTGTGATGAAAATCGCACCTGTGCTCCTCATCCCGGTGTGTCCTCAAGGGCCCATCCCTCTATGTTGACCATAGTGCAACCCCAACCAACCCTTCTTCATCAGCAGGCATCTGAATTGCTCCTCATTCTTCTCTCGCCACCCACTAAGAAATTTTAAATTTTCAGCCTTGTTTCCAAAGCATCCAGTCACCAATCACCTATCAAACCTTGCTGCCAGCCGATTGGATGCAAAGGGTATGTCCCTCTCATTTTTCCTTGCATCATGCATCCTATAGGTTTCTGGAATGTGTAGTTGGAAATAACAATCACAGTGACTGTGGCAAACAGTGACAATGCTGCAGTGGCCACAACTTTGCTAATACAACTGGTGAAAGATCCTTGAAATTTCAATTACATCAGAATAACGGATCCTGGATTCTGGATGCATTCTTTAAATTAGCCCATTTGAGATACCTTAATTCAAAACTTGTTGCAAAATCTCTTGATTCACTGTTTTGCCCAATTGAAGGCTACAAACGGGTAGGGGAATTAGACATAAAAAGCGTTCAAATAAGAATCATTTGACAAACTGTTTCTGTTTTGTCGTTTCACTGGCCTCTACTCTTATTCCCTCCTTAGGACCGAAAGCTGCGAGTGGAAGAAATTGAAGGTAAAATGAAAAATACTTTCTCATAATTCTTTTTTAGGTCTTTTCCAGCTCGGCTAGTGTGCACTCTGATCTGAAATCTAGAACCCTGCAGGGAGATGAGAAAGTTCTTCAAAGACATGTCCAGAAACAGGAGATAAGCTGGCATCTGAGGGCAGCATAGGGCTTGGCACTAATCACGATAGGATGTTCCCTTTTTAATTTTGATATGTTCCCCTGCTCTGAAAGAAAACAGTTCTTAATTCATCCCATAGTGTCATTGAAGGTATTTTAATCTCCTCAATCTGCCTCTCAGAACAGCCCACAACTGTTCCTGCAGAACTCAAGCTGAAGGGAGGAGAAGTTTACTAGATAGTGCCAGACCTCCTTTGTCCTCTCACTGCTCTGTTGTTAGAAAGATGTGATAACACTATAGGCGTCATCATCCTGTGTGGTAGTGCATTTTTGCTATTTTTGCTATAAAAAGTTTCCAGTTCTAATTTTGTATGGTTTCATCATTTTGCCTGGGTTCATGAGCTTGTTTTACTGAGATTATTTTTAATGGGAAGCAGGTTAAACCAATTGTATATAGGTAATATAAGTAATAAATATCCCTCAATAAATGTAGAGTGCAAAATCAAACACTATTTCTGTAGTAGAGGTGGTGTTACCCTTTAATTAATGCTAATGAATTAATGACAATTGTAGTTCTTAATTTAAAGTAATTTTTTTCCCTCTGGTGTGAGGACCTTTCTCCAGCTTCAGTCTTGTTTAGCTTTTCCTCTAACATAGCAAGAATTAAAAGCCATTGCAAAGATTATGGTTTTGGCTAGAAATGTTCACTGTGTACTTCACAACTGAAGTAATACACATTGCTGTTTAAAGGGGGGGTCTCATAAGACCTAAAGTCTAAATCCTCATTACTCAACCCTCCTGCTAAGAAGGGGGATCAGGGGTGGGCTTCAAAATTTTTAGCAATGGGTTTCCTTCCCGGTTACAGGGTAGTCAGCCTCCTGCACCATGGTGGGGAGGGGGATGTTTTTGTCCTCCCTGGGCTCTAGAGGCTTTTCTTGAACCTCCGGGAGGGTGAAAACAGCCTCCACAGGCTCCAGAGGCTCTTTGGAAGCTGAAAAAGGGCCCATTTCCGGCCTTCCTGAAGGCCCGTTTTTCACCCTCCCCAAGCCTCTGCGCGTGCCCTGCACTTATGTGCCTCCAAAACGGGCCGCATGGGGACTCCTGGGACAGGCGGGGAGGGACGGGTGGGACCAGCCAGGAGTGGGATTTGTGGGTTCTCTGAACTGCACAGAATCTTAGCTAGGGGCTCTCCCAAACCCCTGCGAACACCCAGCAGCCCACCCCAAGGGGGATGCTGCTAAATGAAAATTTATTGTGTAACTAGCCTCTCTTGTTTATAGAACTTTGTGGGACCAACTGACATTTGCCATTTTCCCACTTTTTCCATTATTTTCTCCTACTGCGGAACTTCAGTTAAAGATGTTGAAATAATAGCACAATTTTTAAAGATTCAGGAAGGAAAATGCATCAAGACAAAGTGGGAAAAACAGTCCCAGGGAAGATCATTTTTTTCCCTTTCTAAAATGCTTGTAATTTTTATTGAACAAAATAAAACTAGTGGAGATCTTTCTAAAATAAAAAGATTGCTTTTCTATCCTGAGTCTGGAGAATGTGAAGGCTATCCATTATTATGAGACTTTAAAGTAATGATTCAGTTGCAATAGTGATGGCTGCATTGCTGAAAGACCTAAAGGACCAAGTTAGGGACAGATTGTCATGGAGAAAATTATCTAGGTCAGGGGTCTCCAACCTTGGCAACTTTAAGACTTGTGGACTTCAACTTCCAGAATTCCTCAGCCAGAAAAGCTAGGTACCACTTTAAAGCAAAGCTGGCTGAGGAATTCTGGGAGTTGAAGTCCACAAGTCTTAAAGTTGCCAAGGTTGGAGACCCCTGATCTAGGTTGTTGCTAAGAGTTCACTGACTTAATTGTTTGTAGTCAAAATCAATAATTAATGTTAGCAAGGTATCATTTTGCTTATTTAAACTAGGAAAATTAAGTTTGAGAGTTTCTACTTAAGTTGTGAAAATTGGATTTTCTGATAAACTTTCATTGAGCAGTTAATAAAATACAGGCATTATCAAGGGAATTAATGGAATGGAGTCTAGACATTTACACATTTTGCTGCTATCTTAAAGTTCTCTATTGTAGGTACTTTTAAAAATACTGTACTAATTTGCTAAAAAAACCCAGAATATTACTGTAAATCAGTAATATTGTGAAGTTACCTTCACTTATTTAATTTAGTATTTTTGTTGCACCAATTTGTTTTGTTAATTTATTTTCTTGGGCTACGTTTTCTTTTATGCTATTCTTTGCATCTTTTCTGTACCCCATATCCCTTCCTCTGAAAATTTGGATTTGAATGCCTGTGGATTTTTGCATTTTTGATCTAATTTTCCTTGAGTAGCTTCCAAAGCCACAATTAAACTGAAGCAGAGATGTTAGAATTGGTAAAAAAATATTGTGTATATTGCATTCTGTTACTCGATTTCCACTTTTGTATCAATTTGGTGCATGCAAGACATGAATGGACCATGAGATTTTCAAGGAAAACAAATTTAGAAAAAAAAGGGAAATGTGGTTCAGCAGTAACAATTTCAGATTGCTGCCCAGATATGTTTAAATAAAGCGCTATTGGGATCCTATATCGACAGAGCTGAGCACATAGGACAGAGCTGAGTACATAAAAGATGTATTAGCCTTTAAAAAATTTTTTTTTTCTATTTTTTACACCTCTGGAAATATTAACCTCTGTCTAGGGAGATTCTCAGTCATCCAGGTCATGGTTGTCCTAAAGGTGATTTTTTCAAGAGGCAACTGGACTTTGTTTTTCTTTGAAGACATTTCACTTCTCATCCAAGAAGCTTCTTCAGCTCTGACTGAATGGTGAGGAATGGAAGGAATGGAAGGATGTGCAAATCTGTACATTGGGGAAACAAAATAACTACTTCATAAATGCATGACACAACATAGGAGAACAAACCAGAAGTGGGCTGCTTCCGGTTCACACTGGTTCAGGTGAACCGGTAGTTAAGATTCTGTGCAGTTCAGCAAACTGGCAAATCCTACCACTGGTTGGCCCCACCCTTGCTCATTTTTCGGCCTGTTTTCTGGACCATTTGGGGGCCATTTTCACCCATTTTTCAGGGTGTTTTCAGGGTGTTTTTTGGATCAAAAACAGCCCAAAACGGCTGCCCAGAAAAATGCCCCCAAAACAGGCCAAAAACAGGCAAGGCCAGCCAGTGGTGGAATGAGCCCCAACTGGCTGAATCCTGCCTCTGCCTTTGAGGCAAGTGGCTGGGAGACGGGGCTGGGTGTGATGAGTGACTTCACCCACCCAGTTACATGACCAACAGGCCACACCTACCCAGCCAGAGAAACGGTTATTAAGTTATTCAAATCCCACCACTGGAACAAACACATCAGGACAAGATTCAGCAGTCTGTCTGCATTTAAAAGACAAAGACCACTCTTTTGAAGACAGCAAATCCACATTTTGGACAGAGAGGACTGCTGTTTTGAAAGAGGGGTCAAAGAGGCCATCTATGTCAAAATCTCTCAACAGAGGGGGAGGGACATGACATCATCTATCTTCAGTTTATAACAGTCCTTTCAGCAGTTTCAAGGTAGTACAACCATTTGTACTACTCTGGTGACCCTTAGGACACAGATAAATCTCCAAGGGGCCTCAACAACTCTTTTAAAAGGATGCAAATGACCAGCTGTCTGCAAGGAGTATAAATCCTTCCATTCCCCATCATCCAGTCAGAGCTGAAGAAACTTCTTGGATGAGAAGCAAAACTTCTTCAAAGAAAAACAAGAAAGTCCAGTTGCCTCTTGAAAAAGCACTTTTGGATATTAACCTCTTATTTTTGAAACCCTTTTGCCTAAACACCCTTTTGTCTGGGTATGGGTGGCTTGATAGTTACTGCTACTACAGGTATTTCCCAGAGAGATTTTATGGGGTGAGAGAGAAATGGGATCTTCATAGACCATTTGCTTTATTAACAAATAAAAGGAAAACATATCAAAAAAGGTAAAAATTTGTGTCACTGAGGAAATCAATGCCACTCCTTTGGGAGAGTCATCAATCTTGCAAGGTTTGTGTAGAATAAAATTTTATGAAAATGGGGAAGAGGAAATATAAAAATGATTTTTCAGTTTTAAGTTATACTGGTAAAATATTCAGTGGCTGTTAGATCTTCAAGGTGGCCCATACATAAAACCAAAACCCTGAGTACCAATGCTACCTTTATTGCAAGATTACTATAGCAAACCCTTGCAAGTCTGAAGGCACTTAGCCCCTCCTGGGCCTTTAATTAACAGAGAACTAGGAAGGGTCCCCTCTGAGATGCTTTCTCCCTATTTTTCCTTTAGATTTAGTTCTCTCTTATCAAACTGTTGTCAAGGCTGCGATTCTTCCTCCAGTCTTCCAAAGTTTCTCACAGCCCATTACATTGGAAAGAAGATAAAAATACACAGTTGTTAAAAATACATATTTCTATTTAAAAGGATCTCTCACTGGAAGAACTATACAATTATATGAAGAGAAGGACTCCATCTTGTCATCTGGTATAAGGGCTGGCAGGCAGGCTGCAACTGTGGACCAGAAGGTGGGGATAAGGGTTCGCCTGCCTATTAACTATAGTTTGTTATAACAACTTTTCTCCTTTCAGAGCTCAAGGAGGCTTTTCGGGAGTTTGACAAAGATCGTGATGGCTACATCAGTTATAAGGACTTGGGAGAATGTATGCGTACCATGGGTTACATGCCTACTGAAATGGAACTCATAGAATTATCTCAACAAATTAGTACGTACCTTCTTCTATAAGTCGACCTAAAGCCTAAGGAATACTATGCAGTAAGGGATGTCACATTGAGAAATGCCTTCCAGTTACATTTAATATGGATTCTGAGCTTTTTCTCCCCTGACCCGGCCTCTTTATCTTTAAGTGCTGGAATTATAATCAACAATGCCCTTTGACTGCCTCTCATTCTTGAATTACTTTTACAGCACATATGTTAAAACTGAAATTCACCTCTTGATCCCTCCCAATCTTTCATTCACCTTGTTATGAAGAGCATCCTTGAAATTACCTGCTACCTTGACTAGGAATATCTCAGGCTGACAAGTATTAAGGGAGGCATGGAGCACAAACCTGAAAGCCAGTGTGGTCTAGCAATTAAAATGCTAGCCTGGCACTGGAGAGACCCACTTTCAAGATCATGCTTTGTCAAGAAACTCAGGGTGATCTTGAGTCAATCACTGTCTCTCAGCCCAATCTACCACAAAGGATTTTCAGGGTGGAGAAAAATGACAGGTGGGCACAATATGTACAGAACTGTGAGCAATTAGATGAAAAATAGCATATAAATTAAACAAATAGAAACTGCCAAATCTTAAATCTTTGCTAGCATTGTGAACTGTACCTAGAAACCCATGGTAAGAAATGCAGAACCTCCAAAATAGATGTCATATTATCATGTCAATGACCACCAGTTAGCAAGCAATTTACAGTACCTGCATATTGAACTAACTGCAGCTTTCAGGTGGTCTTTAACCATAGCCCCACATAATCCACACTGCAGAAATCCAGTTGAGTGGAATAAGGGTATGAGTCACTGTAGAAAGTCCTCAAAACCCTTTTGGGTTCCTTTTTCTCACCTCCACAGAGCATTACTGTTTTCTTTTGTTAGTGCTGAGACCAAGGGCACTTTTAAACCACTACCATTTTCTTTCCCCAACCCCTCAAAAACTCTTTGAAGTCAATCCCCAATCATTTCCCCTTCTGCCAGCTTTGAAATGCTGAGAAATGGCAGAGAATGCCATGAACTGAACAATGTTTCCTCAGGATAACCACCAGTAAGAAAAAGCCTAACAAACAAATAGAATTCAAACTGCTGCAATTCCTGGAGTGAAATCTTCTCTCACAGACACCTCACTCAAATGGAAAATAGCGCCCCCCCATTTCCCCATCCATGTTTTCAGTTTGAATTGTATGAATAGTCTGAATGTTGTTGTTTAAACAATCTGAACAGTTGCTAGAAAAGGAGTCACTCTGGTCCTTACAGCTCCTGTCAGGGATGTTGACAGGTATGTGGGTACCTTCGTGTGTCTCAAAAAAAGTCTAGGTGACAGCCACTACTATGTAATCAAAATCTCACCCTGTGGGGACTGGTGGATTCTGCTGAAAAGATTATGAAGTGTGATGCTGCAAGAGTAGCATGTTAGTCATTTTGCAGCAAACTATGGCACTTTTCCCAGTGGCTCTAACCATGGTGGTTGGTTGCTGTGCTAAAATGGGTGAACTCAGCCAAGATTGATCCATGCTGTTTTGACTTTTTCAACACCATTGCAAGTGTTCCCAGGAGTCCTATAACCCAGGCAAAGCAAGTAGATGTGAAATGAAGAATAATGCTTTTTTCACTTCCTTTCTGCAGGGACAAGCAGACTGCAAAGCTCGAGGGGCCTATTTAGGTTTTTCTTGCCACCTTTTTCCCAGTGATTGTCTTGAAACAAAAGTTCCTTAGAGGATACATGTTAAACAGAGGTGGGAGTTGTGACTTGAATTCAAGAGGAGGGGTGAGGCAAGAATTCCCATCAATGAAGGAAAAAAACCATGCACAAACTTCAAAGCACTGGAAATAGTAATACTAGTACCAGTGGTGGGATTCAAAATATTTTACTACCGGTTCTGTGGGTGTGGCTTGGTGGGCGTAGCAGGGGAAGGATACTGTAAAATCTCCAGTCAGAGGTGGTATTTGCCGGTTCTCTGGACTACTCAAAATTTCCACTACTGGTTCTCCAGGACTGGTCAGAACCTGCTGAATACCACCTCTGACTAGTACCCTTGTTGCAGTTGCAGCTGAGCTAAATATACTGGCTCAGCTTATTGAACATAAATAATAGAATGGGATGGCCAGGGCCAAAACGCTTTCAAATGAGGATAGAAGCCTCACATTAAAGATGTCCTGAATGTGCAAATGATTGTGTTAAGGAAAAACTATCGACTGTGTAGATTTTGTAACAGGGTTCAAATTCTGATTATTGAGAAAGCACCTGAGAGCAGGACAAGAAGCAATTGGGAAACTAAGGAGAAATTTCCAGACAGAACAATTAATCAGTAGAACAACTTGCCTTGAGAAGTTGTGAATGCTCCAACACTGGAAGTTTTTAAGAAGAGATTGGACAACCATTTGTCTGAAATGGTATAGGGTTTCCTGACTCAGCAGGGGGTTGAATTAAAAGACTTCCAAGGTCCCTTCCAACTCTGTTGTCCTGTCCTGTCCTGTCCTATCCTATCCTATCCAACTCTACTCTACTCTACTCTACTCTACTCTACTCTACTCTACTCTACTCTACTCTACTCTACTCTACTCTACTCTA